ATTTAAAGGTGCACTGGCAACACGAAAATGAAAAGCAAATTCGTCTGTAATTTCTTTGCCATGAAAATGAGAAATAAAGTCTCCCACTTTTAGACCAACCCTATCTGCAGGAGAACCTTTATAAATCCCTGTAATCAAAACCCCATAAGGACGTGATAACCCTAAAGTTTTAGCCATCTCTACATCAACACTTTGAACAGCAATCCCCATCCAGGGACGTAAAATTTTTCCATCATGATCCACACTCGCAATAAGGGGAACAAGCAGGTTTGAAGGCACCGCAAACCCAAGCCCCATAGAGCCTCCACTGCGTGATAAGATTGCTGTATTAATCCCAACTAACCTCCCATCCAAACCAACAAGTGCGCCTCCTGAATTTCCAGGGTTAATCGCAGCATCTGTTTGGATGAGTGAACGGAAATCTCGCACACCTAATTGATTTCGTGCCAGTGCCGAAACAATACCATTTGTCACTGTTTGACCTAAACCAAAAGGATTACCAATTGCCAAAACAATGTCACCAACTTCTAATTCATCTGCATCTTTTAGCTCAAGAAAAGGAAACTCTTCCCCAATGATCTTTAAATACGGCAAGGTCTGTACGTTGCTCTTTTGCAATGATTTTTGCTTTAAATTCTCGACCATCTAAAAGAACGACTTTAATCTCATTTGCGCCATCAATAACGTGATAATTTGTAATAATAACTCCATCAGCACGGACAATCACCCCAGACCCTAGAGAACGTTGCACACGAGATGGCGCTTCAAACTCAGGTTCTAACCCTCCAAAAAAGTGACGAAAAAGAGGATCCGCAAAGAGGGGTGAAGAAAAACGAGATCGAACAACTTTTGTTGCATAAATGTTCACAACGGCAGGGGCCGCCTTACGCACAACAGGAGCAAAAGTTAAGTTTAGCTGCTCCCGAGATTGTGGCAAATCTTCCTTTACTTCTGGTGTTCTAGATTCGAGATCCTTTACATCCAAGATTTCTGAAGCTTCCGGCGCGATTTCAGGATTTAAGATTTCAGAAGCATGCACAATCCCCTTTCCACAAAGAAAAGAAAACATTACCCCTAGAATAAAAGACGTGTAGTTTGAGAGCATGGGTCTACTTTAATCCAAAGACTAAAAAAAGAGAAGCGACCGTCGTTTTAAAAATTTATTTACGCCGCCGAAGAAAAGTGGGGATTTCCAAGTTGTCTTCAAAGCTATCTTCCCCCTCTTCAGAAGAAGCTGGTGGTGCA